TCCTCCTCCTCTTCCTCCTCCTCCTTTTGGTAGTACTGGGGATTGAACTCGCAGCCTGGTGCTTGAGCCACACTTCCACCCCTTTTCCCATGTCCTCTTCAGGATGGCCTTACGGACTGCGGCGCTCCTGCTGTACCTGCCCGTGTCTCTGGAGGTGGCAGGCGCATGCCACCGTGCCCAGCTCTCCTGCCCGGCCATTGCCTGGCGTCCACCACTGCTGGGGATACAGGCCTGCGCCACGGCACCCAGCACTAGTTGAGATGCAGTCTTGCAAAAAACCCAAAACAAAACTTTTTGGCCTAGGCTGGTCTCGAACCCATGACTGCTTGATTTCTGTTTCCCAAATACGTGGGATTACAGACTTGAGCCACCACACCCAGCCAACAGACACAAGACCACACCCTCAGATGAACGGACTTTTCCTTCCTGCTCACTTCAGACCCACAGACGCAGAGTCAGTCTCCCCGGGCAGGGTTCGAGAATACTAGTTGTAGTGCTGTGTATTTTCTTGTGGTCTGCCCGTTGCAACCACTTCAACACACAGCGAGCAAATCCTGCAGACAGGAACGCCCCAATGTCTTCAGTACTTGCCAGGCAACGGAAATCTCTTGATTTTTGTTGTTGTTGTTGTTTGTTTTTGGCCAGTCCTGGGGCTTGAACTCAGGGCCTGGGCACTGTCCCTGAGCCTGTTTGTGCTCAAGGCTGGCGCTCTACCACTTGAGCCACAGCGCCACTTCTGGCATTTTTTCCCCTGTGATTAAGTAGAGATAAGAATTTCACAGACGTTTCTGCCCGGGCCTGGCCTCGAGCCACGATCCTCAGATCTCAGCCTCCTGAGGAGCTGGGACGGCAGGCGGGAGCCATGGATCTCAGTTCTATAGTGAACAGCTAGGCTCTGCTTCTTAGATCCTGGGTATTGAGAAAGCATCGTGAGCAAGCTGCCTTTGCACTCAGAGAAGGTCGCTCCTCTTTTCAGCTGTTAGTATTTGATAATTACAAAGAACGCATTTTTTTTTACCCATATACTTCAATGCGTATGTAAGAAGCCTAACCAAATAAAAATCCCTACAAAAGTTAATTAATTATTGATTAATTAAGTATCAATTACCTTTCCAATGGAAAGTAGGCATTCGTTAACTTTTCAGTTAGGCCTGGCTGACGTCCACAGCGTAAAATCCTAAGATCACGCAGTGGACCAGAGTGGAAAACGCTCTCTGCACGTTCCTCACCTCGATGAGATTCCCCGGGGCGATCGACGCAGCAGATCTGTAGCATAGTAGAATGCTCAATTAAAAACACCGTGGCTCCCGCCTGTCACCCGCGCTGCTCAGGAGGCTGAGATCTGAGGATCGCGGTTCAAAGCCAGCCCGGGCTGGAAAGTCCGTGAAACTCTGATCTCCAGGGAACCAGCAAAAAGCTGGAAGTGGCGCTGTGGCTCAGGTGGTAGAGCGCCAGCCTTGAGCACAAAAGTTCAGGGACAGCACCCAGAAGCTCTGAGTTCAAGCCCCAGCTTCGGCACCCCAAAATAATGTAACACAAAATAGAAAATAGAAATGACAGCACTCGATAGTGTTTGCCCAGCCTCCTGATACAGCTTGAGTTAGTCACTCTGCCTTCTGTGGGCCATGCCTGGAAATGCGTGTCATTGTCACCATTCAAGGATGCTTCTAGAAAGCTCCTCATGGACACCGGGAAGTTCCCACGAAGCATCCTACAATCCCAGCTCAGCTTTGCACAGCAAATCATCGCCAAAGAGAAGGCCAGTCATTCCAAGATGGCGGAACCTCAGAGCAGAGCCATTGGGAAGTTCAGTTGTTCACGTGATCTTAACGGTCCGTCTATGCAAAGAGCGGCCATGAGTGAATGATCATGTTTTCTCAGGGAAGATTGTGGTTTGGCATTACTAACTCACAAGTAACATTATATATGTGTGTGTGTGTGTGTGTGTGTGTGTGTGCGTGCCTTGCTTGCTTCATGCATATGAACAATGTGTGTGTGCATACATGTAGCATGAACTCATGCATCACTATCCTTCATTATATATAACTGAGAAATTACATATAATTGGATATTTAATTATATATATAAATAATCAGATTCTAGGGAGGACCTTAGGAATAATATATATATATATGTACACACATATACATATATATTCACACACACACACACACACACACACATATATATATATATGCTTTTCTAGAATTTTCCTGTAGAATACTCTGGAATACTCTTATTACTAAAAGAGAAAAAAAAAGTTGAGTTTGAGTTTGAAACTTTCTTCATTGAGTTTATCTCAAATTAAGACCTTCAGAGTTCATCCTGGTATGTTTACCAACTTTGGTTCATTATAGTTGTGTTGTTTTTTGTTTGTTTTTTAACCCTTCAGTGGTAGCACCGAAGACATTCAAGTTATGGTTAGATTTGTTCAGGAAGCAATTATTTAATCAATTTCAATGTACCTGCCAAGAGATGGTATTTTTTTTTCCACCATAGGACAAAATCCAAACTATTTTTTTTTTTTAGTGACAAAAGATGTATTGCTTCATGAGACCAAAATGGATGCAAGGAGCCGGGCACTGGTGGCTCCCGCCTGTCATCCCAGCGACTCAGGAGGCTGAGATCTGAGGATCATGGTTCAAAGCCAGCCTGGGCAGGAAAGTCCATGAGACTCTGATCTCCCATGAACCACCAGAAAACCAGAAGTGGCGCTGTGGCTCAAGTGGTAGAGCGCCAGCCTTGAGCTGAAGAGCTCAGGGACA